TCTCTCCCCCTCTATCTGTCTGCCTGTTCCACCCACTCATTTCACCCTCTTTCTGTCAGAAACCCTCCTTTCACTTTCACTCTCTCCATTCTTCCCCCACTCTATAATTTCACCCCATATGTCAGCATCCCCCTTGTTCTTTGTCAGTCACTTTCTATACCCCACCTTCTTTTCCACCCTCTGTGAATCTCCCTCGGCCTTATCTTTCCTCCCTTACTCCTAGCCTTATTTCTCTCTGCCTGTCTGCTTTATTAAAATATTCTGAATTGAATAAGCAAGCGGCAGGCTCCAGGAGATGTCTGCTTTGTGTCGGTCTGTCTGTCAGTCTTTCTGGCTGAGTTTCTGACAGACAAGGAGCCCCGAGGTGTCAAAACATCTCGCTGGCCATCTGACCAGAGAGAGACACGAATGCACCGGATGGTGAATCTCATCCACGCCAAATGGAAAAATTAATCTGATTAATTTGTTGTCCTCCCTCTGCTGGCACCATCAGCTGCCTATGATTGCTCACCACATCACATTCATATAAAATTTGTAGGTTGTGTGACGAGCCCGAGATGTACACAGCTCTACTGTAGCAGTGTTTAATAGACCTGCAAGATGCTTAAACTACTGATATTGGAGCTAAGCCCGTTTGTAATGCTCTACCATAAGAAATAAATGTGCCTGTTTCTCATTTTCAGCATCTATCTCCTCAAATGCCTTTTTAATGAAGTAGTTAAGCCACTCCATGATGCTCCACCACATACACATACAAAGACACACTTGGCAAACAGTATAAAGCAAGATGAGCTAACCCCACTTGGTTTCCCTATAATGATTAAACAACCTTCATTTAAACCCCATGCATTGCAAAGCTGCTGATCAATTAACATGATTTACTGAGGCGGCGCCGGACATAGCCATTCCATAGTAAACACTGACTTGGTGTCCTACTGTAGGATAGACCTTCCTTCATCACACCCTGGGGATCACTTGTGGCAGAATAAACAGCCATTTGGACCCTCGTCTCTCTCCGCTGTGACTCTTTCCATGGAAATATGCGGCTTGAATCAACGCTCTGATGACACACAGCCATCTGTTGTTGTGTTAAGTGTGTTTGGGCATGAAGTGGAGAGAAAACACACAATCGCAGTTTTTCCTTTTTTTTTTTGCTTATTTTAAATACAAAGCAGATACAAATGCGCGCGCACACGCTGTGTGTAGTTGTTGTGACACACAAATGCATGTACACAATCACAGATGCACACACTAATACGACAACACACACACACACACACACACCTCCTCCCTCAGTCCCCAGAGTCACCCATCCTGAAATAGCAGAACTGAGGCCTTTTCAGTTTTTCACTTCATAGAACAGAGCTGGGGAATCAAATAAATAATAGACAAAGAGAGAGAGATAGTGATAGGACGACAAGTCAATGCATCTTTTCTCTGCAACAGCGTGGCGCACCTCTGAAGAACCTCTGAATCCCCTCCATTCTCCACACAGTGGAGAGGACCAATAGATTAAAACTGCATGGCACACACTGCTAAAATGAATAGCGCTAAAAATACATCCTTTTCTCCGAGACATGAAAGGAAACTGCCTTTCCCCTGTCCAGTATTGAGCAGCCATTGATTCCAAGACAAAGGCTACACCTCCTCAAAGAGGTAAGAAAAATAGCAATCATACAGGCAATTATTTTCAAATGTGCCTGCAGCGGCCGATAATGTCAGTGCGCCTCTCTTCCTAAATAAAGGGAGGGAAGGCAGGCGTCAAAGCTGCAGGCCCACTGCTGAAGACGAATGAGCCCATCCGCAGAATGCTTTGCTTTCATCTGGGCAGCATGACATGGCGCCCCATGCAGTGTGAGGCAGAGCTGGGCCTGGGGGACAGGCGCACACAGAAAGAGAGAAGAATATAGATTCTCTATTCAGCTCTATGGAGCCAACACCAAGGCAAAGACCTTCTAAAGACCAGTGGCCAGATTGCCGGTGGCTTTCTCTTGTAGTCCTGCCATAGACAACAATCACAGGGGCTCCGCAGCCTATAGCACAGTTCTCTCTATGGGGCACAAGCACACAGTAGGCCTCTTTAGCTGGACCCTTTCTAAAGACAGAGACAGACATTCTCCCTCTCTAGGCGTGTACTTCAGACTCAGGCCTTTTCATTTTGATGTGCTGCAGCATCTGAGGAGAGGGGGTTAGAAAGCTCTCTGCTGGGTCTAGCCCTCCGCACTGCTGAACTGCTCTAATGTTGTGGATAGAAATCTTCACTGGACTGGCTTCAAAGGAGGAAAATCGAGAGGCAGCGATGAAGGGGAGGGGCAAGGGAAGGAAGGACTAACTGGAGGCAAATAAAGAGGTCAACCTAAGGAGAAATCTAGGCAGTTGCTCAGATCAGATAGGACAGAGTCACATAAAACAAGCAGTTGCTTCCTTTTATTTTTCCGTCTTAGCGACCATTAACGTCCTCATACTTCGCCTGCCACACACGCAATTGCTTACGCCCCAGTTTTCTAAAGTTAACAGATTGAGAGAGGTAGAAAATGGGAGCAGCAAAGCATGGATAAAGGTAGAGAGGGATTGACTAAACACTAGGGATGGACAAATGAATAGGAGAAGTAGGCAGAGTTAAGAGAGAGAGAGAAAGAGGAAGAGGAGAAAGACTCCTCACCTACTTCAACCACTACTCGTGTGCTGCAGTGGAAAGCCCTGCGGTCCATGCCTTAAGGCCCTGAGCCCACGCTTGGCCTATCAGTTTAAGATCAAAAAGAGCCCGCTTTAGCAAGACATATGGACTGAATAATGCATCTGCTTTATTTCCACAAGGCTGGACGGGGTGAGTGGCAGAAAAAAAAGAGGAAAATGTGTGTGCTGTATATTTCTATTTGTTTATTATGAACGTATGCATGAGTGTGTATGTGCATGTGCCTGTCTGACGTTCATGAGTGTGTTTGTTCCAAAACCAGTTTTTCTACAGGCCAACGAGCCTCTCCGTAGTGTCAGTCATTGTGATTGGGCAGTGAATACGGTAGCCCGTAGCGTGCTAGAAAATGGGCTTCTGTGATGTCTCATTTGAATAGTCTGACAGCCAAGGGTGGAGGAGCAGCCTTGTAATGAATTATAAATACGAGGTGGGCGCAAGTTTCCCCGCAAACTGCTGAGAAAAGGTGAAGCACAAAGTCAAGTTCAGTCAGAGAGAAGCCAGGCTTGCAACCTGCCAGAGGTCGGCCCTTCTCCGGCAAAACAACAAAACAAAAACAGTTTGGTTTCACCCTCTGAGAAAAGTGCTGCTGAATGTATGCACCGTTATGCACTGCATGATATCTAGTCAGGCTATGTTGAAGAAAGGTTTGATCTTAGTTTCATAGTGTGGGGCCAAGAGAGGGAGACAAACACAAGCATGTGTAGGTGGGATAAGATCATTCCCAAATTACTGCTGTGTTATGTAGTTCCCATATTAGACAAATAAGGGGAAGTCAACCCTGCTCAGGTATAATAATTCTGGCAAATATCACAAGGCATAACCCTTTGTTACTAACAAACCAAAGGGTCCATGGCTGGTTAACCAGCAGTATCATGTCTGGTGCATGCAAAGGTTGTGCTCTTTGACCTGTGACCTTTGACTTGTGGCCTTTAGTCTGGGTAGGAACCCTGCTGGTGATAATTTAAGGTGGTAAAAGGGAGTGGAAAATGGGATTAGCCTGGATTCTGCTAATGATTTAAACTGGGAAAGACTTAACACACACATAGTGCATCACTGTTTCCCCCCATAGTTCATATGCAGGTGTGGATATACTGTCACTGGAAATTTCCAAAAACTGTTTTTGCTGTCATTAGGTGAAAGTGACAGCCAGCTATGCCAGAATCTCCTTTGTGTAAACACCTTGCTAAAACAAGTGTGCTGCAGTTCTGAAATTAAGAAAGGCCCCTGATGTCACCACAACTCCTTTCCCTTGTCTGAGAGGTGACCCACACCTCTCCATCTTCCTATCCAAGACACACTACTTAAAAACACTATGAGAAGACAGGACATCTGGAGAAGGACTCACAGTAAGCCTCGGCATAAAGTCCACAAAACCATCATACGTGTCCTTGGCCTCCTCACAGTCAGTTGATGGTGTGAAGGACACCACTGGCATCCCACCATGGCTCAGCCTGATGACACAGTTCTACTGCTTGGCTTGAGCATGACATACTGTAACACTGCCATGTCTCAGTAGGGATATATGACCTCCTTCTAAATCCTCATCACAGACAAGTAATCTTTTTTTTTTTTTTTTTTTTTTTTGCAACACTAAAGGACTCTTTCCGCTTTGATGGACCGTGACAGTGGAGCTGCCACAATTTTGGCCTCCCAAAATTAGTGAAATCTTGACTGCAGAGAGCTGCATTACATACACACCAGAAAATCTTATTAAAAACAATAAAAGGGGGGTGTTCTTCTTTAGGGGGTTGCTCCATCTAGTGGCAAACTCTTTATACTACAAGGGTGAAGGGTGTAAAGGGAAAGTCATATTCACAGCAACACATTTTAGGATGAGAGCAGTGGCACATGCAAAACACACATCTGGTATAGATGTTTTGCAACCAAAATCAGAATCAGCTTCATTGGCCAAGTAAATGTACATACACAAAAGGAATCTGACTCTGACTTTTGTTAGAAATAATAACAGCTATATACACCAATCATGCCATATTTCATGCCGGTCAGATTTGGCAGTATATACAGCATGTTTATATTATATATGCACTGGCAGTGATGATATTCAAATGTCAAAAAGCAGTGAGTATAAACTACAAACATATGTACAGTACAGGTGCAGTGAAGATCACAGTAACCACAGTACAGTATCCGTACCCAGCTACATGAAACAGCCAGGGTCAGATACAGAAAAAGGCTACACTAAGTTTAATAGCTTTTTTTCTAATGGCCTTCATCAGTCTGCAGGGATCAAGGTTGTAAGTGACTTCACAGCTTGCTAATGTTAGCATAACAAGACTTAACTTACCTGTCCATGTCTTCTGTTCTGGGATTATGTAATATTTATTCCCCAAAGTATCTGTCCCGACGTGCTCGCGTACTACTCCAAACGTACGCCGTAAAACTCCAGCAATCCTGCTCATCTTCACAGGTTTGTTGAGAGATTTTGGAGTGTATTTCGTGTCCCCTGTTAGCTGTCTGCCCTCTCGCTGAGTTGTTTATGCAATGGTTCGTGGGCGGGGAAGAGAACGAATAAACTGTTTTGTGATTGGACGGCTACACTTCACCAGCCAATCACCGCCCTTGTCATAGAATGGACGTTGCGTTCCAACATGGCGGCACACTGTATCGAGCTTCTGTGAAGCTAGGTGAAATAAATGTAAAATAAACAATAAAATATCAAAACATAGTACCCGAATAATATTTACATAGCGCATGAAGCTATTACGGAGCTCTGGGCACAACACCATGTCTTGTTGGAGGCACAAAATTTCGGTTTTTATGAAAAACGTACTTCAGCGTAGTTAGCATGCTAGCCTGAGCTAGGTTAGCTAACGGTAACGCAGATTGACTACGAGCTGACGTTAAGGGCAGTTTCTCTTCAAGTTGGTGCAATGTTGGGGTTTCTGACAGCAAGGCAGGCTGGTCTGGATGACCCTCTGCGACTGAGACGTGCTGAGTCAACGAGAAGGTGAGAGATAATAGAAATATATCAACCAGACAGGACAATAAATACTGCTATGTATGAGGTCATTTATACTCACTATTAATTGCTCAGAAAGAGTAATTCATGTCTCTGTGAGGGACATGGCTTCAAACACCATGCGTGTAGAGTCATAATGTACTGTGTAAGCACATCTTGGGCTTTCTAGTGATGTAACCCACATGGGGGTGTGACCACAGACTGTACATATAATACACGTCTATGGGTGAGAGTTGCAGTCAACAAGTTTTATGGCAGTAAGGGAGATACGTGATCATATTCATGAAGCAATCCTGTTTTTATTATTCAAAAGGACGTTTTTTATTGAGAATCTCAACTATATTGAAATTGTATGTTAATCTTAGGCCTTTAAAAATACCCATGTCCTTTGTGGGGGACAGAGGGACTTGCTTCTTTTCATATTCAACCTTTTTTTCCAACCTTAAGGAAACAGCGTTGAGTGAGACAGGGAAGATTTTGTTCAGATTTACTGAGAAAGAGTCATACATTGCTTTTTGTGTTATACACATGTAAACACACACATGCACACACATGCTATGCATAACACGCACAATACCTTTTAATTTTACAGTTATAAAAAGGTGAATTTAATTATATAGTGTAATAACTGAAAGCATCTGTATGAAGAGAGGGTAACCTCAAAAGCTTGGTCTGTCCCCTACATGTTGAGTTTCAGATGCCTCCATCAGGGCAGAGGTTTTGCCTCCCTAAATGTAGCACAGCGTTACAGATCGTCCTTTGTCCCGTCTGCTATGGCTTATCTTAGCCAGCAGTGACCACTTATTATTCATGATTTACCCCTGACAGTGTGTGATACTGGATTCTGTGTGTTAAATATTGTGCTGTCTGTTTTGTTGTATTCATGACCATTGTCAGTATCTCAAATTGCCCCTCAAGGACATAAAAGTTTTACCTCACCTTGCCTTACCTCACCTTACCTTACCTTACCTTACCTTACCTTGCCTTACCTTAAATGTACTGTACAGTAGTGCACTTTTTGTGGAATGGTCGACCCAATGTCCACTTCAAGGGATATGTCATAAAAAATATTTTTTGAGAAAAAAAATTTTTGCAATGTGTTTATTACATCCCAATTACCTATTAGTTAAATTATGTTTTTTAAAAAAAAGTCAAAATACTTAAACCTGTTCCCTCCCGGCTGTCAGGAAAATATCAAGTCCCATTTTAGGATGTATTAAGTTGTTCCATTGACAGTCTTGTGAAAAGACAAAGAAAGCCTTGAGGTGTAAGGTGGCTAATGCTTGTAAATCACTAAATAGATTACCCTTGGAATCATCCAAAGATCAAAATTAGTCAACAACAGTTAATTTTCTATGGATTAGCTGACTGATTTGTCAAATAATGGTTTAAATGATTAGTTTGTCTCAATGGCAGTGTATCTGTTTGTTGTTTATTTCCTTTCCTCAACATTATTTTCTATTTAATGTTATTTTGATAATCTACTCAGGCTTTAAAGGTCTGATATGAATTAGGCAGTTGTCCAGTGATGCTAAACACTTCTCCTTTCTGTATCTCCAAAGGGTCCTGAGTCTGACGTTGAATCCTGACAGAGACGTGGACAGAGTCCATGGAAATGGCATCAACACCATTGACATTGAAGAAATAGAGGGCAGATAGTAAGTCCACTCAATCTTAATTTATTATTACTGATTTATAGATTTCTCAGTTACAATCCCAAAACTGTAGTGAACTAGTTTTAAACAACCAAATTTATGAATTGGCAGCTGCAGGTTTAACCAAAACAAATGTTTGTGATAAGAGCCCAGTGCAATGGAGATGAATGTCATTTAGTTTTGGTTGTGCAAAGCATGGGGAAATACCATTTGAAAAACTCAAGAGTGTGGACCATTTTGTGATGAGTTTTCATAGAGAACTATTGGCAGTCATTGTTTGGTAGACTGACATTAGAAAGCTGTGTTGGAGGAAGCAATGCCATCTGTAAAGTGAACCCTCTCTGTTGTTTAGCATGTTGTCTGGCGGAGCAGATGGAGTGATCGTCATCTATGACCTGGAAAACTTCAGTGGGAAACCACAATACACATGCAAGGCAGTTTGTACAGTGGGCAGGTAAGTGTCACTCTATTTACTCATTATGTCCACTAGAGGGCAGCATTGCATTAAGCGCTCATAGGATCGTGCCCTCCCAAGCTTGTTCACAGCCATGTCCTCTAGGCCACACATTATAAAGTGAAAGTGCTTGAATGTTTCTTCTCTTATTTGTTAGATGTGTCTGTTTTTAATGGTAATGTGAACAGAAAAAATCCTACTAAATTTTATTCTGTGCACTGTAATAGAAAGCTCTAATTCTGTTGCAGATATAATTTGTGGCCATGTCTGAACAGTCATATTCAATTTTTTTATTTATTTTTTTTCTGTGCCTCCCTGACACATCTGTCATTAAAGCAGTCATACTTCTACTGTTATTATACACATATGACTATTGTCACACAAGTATACTGTCAGATATTAATACATACTTTCAACATATTGTACCACAGTAACCAGAACTATAACTATAATATTATTACTTTCATTAATGTTGTTGTAAGCTACTGTCATTACCTGCATCTCTCTCTCTCTCTCTCTCTCTCTCTGTCTCATTGTGTCATATGGATTACTGTTAATTTATTATGCTGATCTGTTCTGTACGACATCTATTGCACGTCTGTCCGTCCTGGAAGAGGGATCCCTCCTCAGTTGCTCTTCCTGAGGTTTCTACCGTTTTTTTTTTCCCCCGTTAAAGGGGTTTTTTTTGGGGAGTTTTTCCTTATCCGCTGTGAGGGTCTTAAGGACAGAGGGATGTCGTATGCTGTAAAGCCCCGTGAGGCAAATTGTGATTTGTGATATTGGGCTTTATAAATAAAATTGAATTGAAATTGAAATTAAAGCATGCACCTACATGGCTGAACAGAGCTCTAGAGGAACGTAGCATTATGGTTTGCAGAGTGAATATAGCTTTATGTTGCACACAGGACAGATTCACTTACTTAAGCTGTGTTTATGAAGTTGTGTATTAATATGGTCCCATTTTATGACTTTTCTTTTTGATTTAGGTCGAGTCGGTATGTCCACAAGTTCAGTGTAGAGACAGTCCAGTGGTATCCCTATGACACGGGCATGTTTGTCTCCAGCTCCTTTGACAAGACCATGAAAGTCTGGGACACTGAGACACTCAAGGTAAGGAATGTCACCCACAGACTAGGTTACTCCGTGCTACAGTTTTCCTTCGTTGGGCGTGTTTCCTCACTATGTTTGCAGGTTGTTGTTTTTTTTTGGCACTGTGTGTCTTGGAGGCCTGCTGCTTATTGTCTGGCACCTGCGGACAGATGCATAAACTGTGTAGACTCACAACTAAAACTATGTGTACGCACAAAAGCAGAAATATGCATACATATTCTTTTTGTCAGATTTAAATACCATGCGTATGCCTGATTCTGTTTTCTAAATATGGATCACTGTGCTGCTGGGCACCTGTACAAAAGCCTTATATCCACACTGACAGTTAGCCCTAGATGGATGTAGAAATGCTCTTAAACATCCATTTGCATATTAATACTTGCACCCGCTCCACCATTTATTAGAGAAGTTAGAAGGTGCAATTAAGAAAGTGCAATTTAACCGACTGTGTCGCATCAGAGAGGTTCTCCAAGGTCATTAGGCAGTGGATATTTGGAGTGTATGTACCACTGATGTTGTGCCTACATAGTGTTAATGCATCTGGCACTTGGCTGCTACTTTTTTATAAAGTCCCAAACCTCACTTGAGCACTGTAGGGATACACGCCCATAAACACCCCAAACACAGAAAATGAGAAAAGAGACCAAACTCAGATTAAACTATAAAACTAAGCAGTGCTGATCAAATATAAACCAAGATTCTGTTGCCGTATTGCCTATGTGTCACCTGAAATGTTTTCAGAAACATATTTTAGTACATTGTTTGGCAGTAATACAAGAATTTGTGAACAGGAAGTTGGCGCCGTACTGTTTCTTGTATTGTGAAAAACAAAGTCTGAAAAAAATGAGGTCAAACGGTGTAACCACGTGGTGCTGATAAAATATGAACCAAGATTTGGTTTCTGTGTTGCCTATTTCTCGGCTAAAATGTTTTCAGAAACATATTTCTGCTTACTGTTTACCTGTAATACGAGATTGTTTGTTGATTGTTTTTGGACGATCAACACGCATTACATCACCCACCAGCGGGAGCAATTATTGGTCTGGTGCAGCACAGTGCATTCGAGGAGTTGTATGTTTTCTACCTCCTGTGCAAAAATGCTACAGCTCTTTTCCTCCAGTTTCTCTGATCATATGGCACCACATTTCAAACTATATGTGTCTTTCTACTGCATAGACTGCCCAGTTTTGTAAGAAGACCATTCTTCCAGTGGTGAAATAG